AGTTAGCCATTCCCTGACCTAGATCAGCTACTGTAAAAGGTTGTTCTAGGAATTGATAAAATTAAAGGCTTCCCTATATTCCATCTACTCACCTCCAGAAACACTAAATGGCCCTCTTATTGCCAGGGCATAGAGTAGTGTCAAAGAGCTCCCCAGGCCTCCCTGACTTGGGTTCTGATACACCAATAACCTGAAGGAAAATAGCATTAAACATTATATTCCATTTTAAACTCAGTGGAAGAAGAGCCACAGTGTAGAAATAGAGCCTATGCTAATTCCCATCCTATTATATCCCATTCTATTTTCATTTTGAATAATATCAGATTAATTATTTTCAATAAAAGTTCTCCTTTCTTTCTGGTCAAGTATCCTAAAAAATCGTGCATTCTGATTGGTTACACAAGCAGGTAGTATTTTCTATCACTGCCCACAGTGCAGTATCCAAAAGGCTTACAACAGCCAAGCGTGCGCATGAAAAAGCAGATTGTTTGACAAGAAAACAAATTTTAAACAAGTGGTTCAAAGTAAATGGGAAAGAATAAATAAATTATTTACTGGCTTAAAGTCGGTCTGGATAGGAAAAAACTGTGCCCTTGGTCTTGAAAACTAACCACTGCCCAATGCAAGCAGCTTCAAGACATTGTGCACAGTTTGTTTCCCCATCCAGACCTCCTTGAATGGTGAACAACATATTATATTTACGCGTTATCTCCGTTCATCTTTTTGATAAGAGACACCAGGCATCCAATGCGATCTTTATCCTTGATGAGATTGCCGCAAACACAGTAATGGTTGTTAAAGATAAATATCATTCATGTAACTCCTACATCACCCCACCAGAGAAATATTGGTAATGCTTACAACATGAACGCTGTGTTGTATCAGCTGGAGGAAAAAATTCCTAGATCTGATACAATGTGGACACAAACATCATTGGATACATTTATTCAACATTTAGGTACATAACATTGTAGTGAAATTTTAAACATTTAGTTAGGTTTTGCGAAGTCATCTAGAATATGTTTTAACAGGACATATGTTTATGTTAAACATCTGCCATCTTATAAAATACTTTTTCAATCAGAAAAGGAGCTTTCAGTCTAATTCTTTACGTTGATATTTAGTAAAATAACCAATTTAAAACACATCTCAAGTTATTCATTTTATGTAAGGTTATTTCTATAGATAGATAGATGTTATTTTTGCAAAAACTTTTTTGAAATCATGATAAAAATATTTCCAATTCCAAGAAGCCAAATGTAAACTTTTAAGAATTTTGTAGATTTACAGTACTTCCAAGGCAAGCTTGATTAAATAAAGCAACAAAATATTTAAAAACGTTAGAAGCCTAAAATATTTTTTAGTATAAAAGAACTCAATAGTACAGTGTACAATAATTATATCATAAAAAAATTGCAATTCTTGCTTGAAAAACATAAATGATACGATTTCAGCTTTTAACCTCATATGGAGATTATAAAATCGATATCCAAGAATAGAGCTTTCCAGCTTTTCAGCTTTTAACCTCATATGGATATTATAAAATTGATATCCAACAATAGAAGCCAATCAATTCAATATCCACGATATCTTTGAAACTTTCACATTAATAATTTTGTGTCAAGGAGAAGTGCAAAAATATTGATAGCATGAAATAAAAAAGATGAGTTAGTATCTAAGATCTGGAGAATAATAGAAAAAGACTTAAGGATAGAATAATAAGCATAAAATATAATAAGATTGTAATTGGTTTGTTTGACATTTTTTTGTCATATCTATACATCAACGTATACATTCAACAACACAAAAATGAAAAATAATGAATCTTATGAATTTTTAAAATCTCCCCTGAAAAAAAAATTTACACCAACAGGGAAATATGATAAAATACGTTTATGTTCGAAGGATAATGAAAAACACTTATCAGAAGAAGGATAGTTTATACTATTTCTAGGGGTTTTTTTGAGGAACAACTTTGGAAAGACTTTTAAAAATTATTGTTTTCCAAGACCTCAATTTTTTTTTAAATGTCGGATTTTTGAGCAAATTTGAACACAAAAACATACGAGTTGAGAATTTTCAACTAAAGAACAAAGTATTTTGAATATAAGGCTAATTAATAATGGATGAATAAGTGTTTTTTGAGTTAATGTTTAAATAATATTTGAGCTGAAGCATAAAAGGTAAAGTAATTTAAGCTCAAATTTAGCGATTGAGATTAATAGAATATCTTTAAAATGTAAGAAAATAAAACAAAAGCGACCCAATAATAAATAAATATGAAAGAATAAGGAAGTACAACGAACTATTCAAATAGTTATTAAACTGTTATTAAATTCTTATTAACTAACAAAGCATAAAAATACGACAGGAGATCGAGTCAACAAGAATTCTGTGAAGAAATCATGAATTTGCACTCAAAATGACAAGGATATTTTTACGCATTGTTCGTCGAGTTGAAGCAGGGATTGTACTTTCTGTTCCAATGTTATTCCAGTGGAAGGCATGGCGTAAAACCCGACAAAACGGCCAATTTTTGAGGTGTTATGGGTCAAAGATTGTCTTCCTTACGTCGCCATGTTTGTTTGGCTTTACTACACTCGGTGAAGGAGACTTGGGTTCAAAGGAGACACAGGGAACCCAGCCCTATAAACAAATGGATATTTGCATCTGAAGGCGTCACTTTACTACACTATCAAAATGCATCTCGAATAAGCCTGAAGCGAGATGACGTTTTACCCCCGACTCTATACCATAATAGTTTTTAAAATTCTTTCATATTAAAATTTTTGATGTGTGAAAAGGATTATGGTCTAGAGACGGGGTTAAAACGTCGTCTCGCTTCAGGCTTATTTACTTTCTTATTCCAATACGTATCTTCTCATGAGAAAAAATCCTGGATCCGCTCCTGTTACGTCACATTCAATGGTACAATATTTCGCTCGTGGGGAAGGGACTACGTTTTCATTTGTGGCGGAAAAAAATCACTAACTCGAAATTGAAAGAACCAATACTGAGAAAATTATGTTAACTTCATCCTATCCCATACTCCTTCTGAATTATATACGTTCTATTAGAAACCTTCTTTCCGTTCCTGTATCCAACAAAAGGGAATTTTTTAACCTTTTGTTCCGATTAACAACTTGTAGACTTTGTATATACCAATTTGCGCTCAAGCAATAGGAGTACCTAGTCTTTAAACCATAACCAATTCATTCAGTTTCGAATCAGCAAAGAGAACACCTAAAACAAAGCTATTCTCGACTTTCACATCCCCATAATCCTTTGCGTCTTTGGGGGGTAACCAGAGGGTAAAAACCCACTTATTTTGCTGAAGGCTGATCAGACAATGTTGACAATACCTTGTTTGGTATCCAAAAATGAAATGAAAGCAAAAAACAGAAAAAGATAAAAGCTTGAAGATGTTTAAGGTAAATTTTAAACATTTTTTCGTAAGTCAATACATTTTCTGTAAGACCAAAACTCTTGATAATCTGTACACGCAAAAATAACTTGGAATAAACTGATAATCAGTATTGTACAGATAAAAGCAGGTATAGTATAAATTCAATCAAGAAACCTTTCAATTTGTGACAGGTTTTTTTGATTGGTTACCCCGCCCCCCCCCCAAACGCAAGGCATTATGGGGATGTGAAAGTGGAGAATAAGAAACAAACAGGAAATTTTGTCGAATTTCAATTTAATCTCAAGCGACTTCCAACGAAAATCCAAGCCTTTAACAACACAATGACTACTACCTTAACATATCGTTCGAGGTACGAGGGGACCTTCACGAGCGATTGTCGCTAAATAAAAACTTTATAAGCGCACTAAATACTCATCTAATGTCTATGGAAGTATATATTTTATTGATATTGCTGAGTAAAACCAGGAATTCAGCCATATTGATCATTTTTTATCAATCAAATCAGCTTTTACAGTGCGACTAACCAAGGTCACCCAAACAAATTCCAAATCAAACTCACAACTCACATTTTTAATGCTGCATAATAGATGAATATTGATAATTCCTGGATTTAAAACTGTTCCTCATTCACTTCTGACCATACACACACGTATAAATTAAAATATATGCTTTTAAAAGGAAAATTATGAAAATTTGTACAGATTCTTTTGTTTAAATACTCAATCGTGATTGGCTAATTTGTATGAAAATTTATCTGGGTGACCTTTGTTGGTGTAATCGCACCGTAAGTCAGCGAGTTTATCATCGTTGACCGCTCATTCTCAAGAAGTTCCTAACACTTCAAAAAAAAAAAAAAAGAAAAGAAAAGAAAATTCTATATACGATTATAGTCATTAGATAGGCTAGTGGGCTATGAGGTTCTTAGTGAACATCAATCGAGAAGGTCCCTAGGGATGAGGGCAAAGCAATTACCATCTCACGTTACCCGATTTAGGGGGGAGGGGTGGTGTTACCCGGTACCCACCACCTCTGGAAGTGAAATCTTAGATTTTGTCCCCAAATATCTCAAAAACTAAAAGCCAAATCACAGAAATGAATGGACTGTCTGTCTGCAGGTATGCTAAAAACCATATTTGTGTATAGAAATTGCCACTACAGACCCCCAGTATCGAGCATTTGAACAGGTCTCTGAGGGGGCGGGCGTATGTACCGGTACCCACCACCTTAATTCATAAAATCGAGTCCCTATTTTGGACCATTTTTTTGACCTCGCCCCCTAGGGGTAGCTTTACAAACATAATGCCATTGATTTGGAGAAACGTTGAGGATGATGCTGGTGATAATGATGATGACGATGATGGCGGCGATGGTTAGCGTTAACGGTGACAATGATTATGATAAATCATCATCACCGATATTTATGTCCTCAACAAATCCAGAAAGTGCTGTGGAGCTGCAATATGACCGTTGAATAAATACTGTTGGTTATTACGATCCACGTCTTCGAGAACATATTTATAGTTCATCATCAGACCAAAGGAGTTTTCTAGACCACGTGGGCTGGTGTCCGCTGACCAGTTGAGCCTCCACATCCACGCTCCGTTACGAATATGAAAGTTTGCTGAAACGAAAAACTTTGTCAAACCCTGAAACAATTTCTGGGCTGATCTAAGTCTGGGACGAGCTCGATTGACAGGAGTTAAAAACGTCTGCGCATGCTCTGAATCCTTATGCAAATTAGTCAAAACATATGTAAATTTGACTTTCAAACATGCCTGATAAATTGGACTTCACAAAATGCCAAAACTTAGAGTGTCCATGCTTGAAACTTAAGGCTAATTCTTTCATATTGTGTTTGTTGATACAGTATCTTGGTCTGACAAAAGTATACTCTCGAACTTTTTTGTATACTTGGAGAAAACGAACATTTATTTTCTCACTCAAACTCTTCAAAATTCTTAGAAAACGTGCTGTATGCACGCATGCGCAAACGTTTTTCTCTGCTGTGCTGTGCTGTGCTGTGCGCAGTCATAAAGCACTTGGGGATTGGCAGAACAATCGAGAGGTGTCGAGAAGCACTCCGCTACGCGTCGTGCTTCTCCTAACACTTCTCTTGTCTTCTGCCAATCCCTGCGTGCTTCATAACTACAAACAGCACGTACAGGCGCTTTCTATTTCTTCAATACATACCGACTGGGTCCAATGCAAAACCTCTTCTTTTTTCTTCATATAAATATCTGTTAAAAATTTAAAATGTATACCCATTTCAATAAAGCTATAAATCTGTAATGTTCCCCATTTAAGACCACGTGTCATTCGATTACCATTCCTTTCTTTAACGGATGCACATGAGAAGACACAT